ACTGCTTAAATAAACTCAAAGTATCGGACCCATATTAAAAGTAAACTGTGACCCAAACTGAAAACTATCATTAAACCTATTGTCATTAACTATCATTTGCCTCTTATTAAATCACTAAACTGCATTTACATTATTTGCTACAAGTCACATGACCAAGCTGATAATGCAAGAGAAGAACTCCAACCCAATTCGATGATCGTAACCCCAGGTTAAAGAAGTAAAGAGAGGACAAGAGATGGCAAATATTAGTAGGAGAATAGGTTGAAGGAAAAGACTTAAAGAGAAGAGATGAGTACTTACCTACAGATAAACCACTAGCCAAATCTAACACGCCTATTTCGACTTAGCCGACTTGCCGCACAACATTTGGTGATGACTGTGAGATTCGAAAATTAGTAAAACACTCGCTACCCCCTTCCCTCTGATTTAAAAATTTTAAAGAAATCAAATTAAGGCTAATAAGAAAGCAGAAGACTTATTAAACCCCTCTAAAAATCATAAATAAGATAGGTTAGATTTATAAAAGAAGACAAAACTGGAATTAATTTTTGGAAAAGACAAGACAGAAGCTATAAATAATACCCAACTTAAAGAACTAATTGACATCATGGCATGGTCATTCGAAGATGCCGCTAGAAGCATCACTACAGAAATATACCAAATTCCAAGGAAACCAATCTTGTGAAAGTAAGAACCTTCAGCAGTAATGATGACAATGATCCAATCAAATGCTGAAAAACTTCGAACGAGCCGTGGAAGCAAATAATTGGAATAACCAACGAAAGATACAAATACCTCTGGCCACCTTCGAGGTATGGCTGCCGAATGGTACAAAAACAACTGGAACGAGATAATCTATTGGAAAAGAGATGGGCAGCAGAAAACAGCTTGCACACCCTATTAGTAACATTCTTTACCACATCAGAAAAGCAGCACAAATGGCAACTAGAACTTAACACCTTAGCTCAAGGTGAAAATGCGAAATTCGACGCTTATGCAATGAAATTCAAAAAATTGCTGAGTCAAGTAGACCCTTTACCCGAATCATACACTGTGTGAATGTTCCTTGTGGGGCTAAAAGAAAAAACAGCCACATTCATAGCTGTAACATTGGCGCAAGATCTGAACAAAGCCATCATAGCTGCCAGAAAAGTAGAAGCTGAAGATTATTATGGCACCCATACATCCGAGACTACCCAGTCGACTGACAAAAAGGACAAATTAATCGAAGCCCTAGTCAAACAAGTACAACAACTATTAGTGAATTACGTCGCACTGAACGATAAGAAGAAAAAAGACATACCTAAACCAGAGAGATGCCATGATAACTACCAGAAACCGAGGAGAGAAATCGTATGTTATAAATATAGAGAAATGGGACATATCGCTAGGTATTGTCAGTCCGAAAGACGACCACTTCGACCAAATGGAGAAATACGAAGACTATCCAAAGTTTGAAGAGTGAATTATATAGTTTAAGGAGAAGATGAACTGTATAACCTTGAGAAAAGAAAGCCCCAATTTCAAGCCGATGAACCTGATAAGAGGCCAAGACTACAAGCAGATTCGAAGTGAGAAAATCGACTAAGGCAACGATGGGAGGAGGAACCACCCTTAGTAGACTTAGAGGTCACCCCGGACCTAATAGAAGAAGATGAATTTCGACTAATTCAAAAACCCTGCAGAAGACGAGGACCCTCTGTAGTTGACAAACTGGCCCCATATAATATCACCGAGGATCTATTGAACTCACCCACCCATGTTACCTACAGGCAGATGCTCCAATATCTAAACCAATGACAAAATTTGGCCCAAGCCTTTTGAAGGCCCATCGCTACTCAAGAAGCTAGGGTAGTGAATTTTAGAGGAACCTAACGAATGACAGCAGCATACTGTTATGTCCGAATAAAAGGGAATCTTGTCAAGGCTGTATTAGATTCTGGCGCAGCTGTAAGCATAATAACCAAGAAACTCTTGGACAAGCTCTGCTTGAGGATCGATCAACCCTCGACCATGATGGTAGTTACAGAAATTGGCACAAGAACAAGAGCATTAGGACAAGTTAATGACCTTAAATTAGCAATCTGGATACTGTCTTACCTAGCACTTTCCAGGTGATCGAATTAGCTGATGAAACCCTACTTTTGGGAACGGACTGGTTCCAGAAGGCCCAAGCAAGAATACACTTCGATGAGCAACAGTTATTCTTGAAGTATAAGGGAAAGACTGTTGAAGTTCCTATATCAAATAACGGGAAAACAAGATTAGAAAAGCTGGAAGAGAAAGACCTCTGGGATAGCGATAGTGGAGATATGTTTGATGAACTTACCTACGAGGATGAGGAGTTGAACAAGGCAGAGGGGTACTACATGGAAAAAGTGTTAGATAAGGAAGATGAACTTTACAATAATCTGTGGAAAGATGAAACTAGCCCTGCTATTTATCTGACAAATATTGATGAACTTATCACTGAGGTGCAAGACGAATCAACCGTAATTGAACAATTGGAGAAATTCGTGCAGACCGACTCCCTAGATGAAAAAGAAAAGAGAAAGGCATTAGAATTTTTTAGAAAAGAGGTATCGCTCTTTGCGAGCAGGCAAATTTGTTTGTGTTCTACTACAATATAAGGAATAGTATCTTATATAGCTATAAGAGACAAGCATATATGATCAACTCTATAAAAAACAATTTTGAAAAAACATTTACTACATCTTTAATCTCTTATAATTTTTACATATGTTTTAACAAATTCTTTCTTAATTACAATTTATCACTTTTTTCTCATGGTCAAACTATTCAAACTTTAATTCAACATATTGACAAATATAATAACAACAAAACTATATCTAGTATTATATTTTCTGTTAATTCATCTTATAATAAAACCTATATATATCTTTCTAATGATACTCTTTTTCAAATTATATCATTATTGCTCTATATTTTCTTCTACTATTCTATAATCTTTACCTCAAATCTAACTTTTTTAGCTCTACTTCTATTTTATTTGATTCTTTCTCTAATAACTACCACTCAATTCCGATTGACTATAGCTCTGCTTTACATTCTTCTGATTCATATTCTTATTATCTTAATCTAATTATTATTATATACAATATTAGAGGCTTTAATGATTTAACAAAAATAGAAGCCTGATAAGATTACTGTCTTAATAATGACATATCTATTGCCAGTATTACTGAAACAAAAATTTCTAATCAAACCAATCTTTTCTTCTATAACAATAACTTTTTCACATATTACTGGTCTAACTCTTTTATTTCTGTAGAAGAAACAGCCATCATGATTCATAATTATCTTAAACCTCATATTCACAGTATTTATACTCACTCAGAATTCTAAATAATAAAACTATATTTCTTGAATCTCTTCTTTTTTCTTATCCAAAATACTCTATTTTTAAAAAACAACTCAGATATCATAAACTTCTCTTTTTGAACCAACTCACTACTCATAACAATTCATGTTTACTATATTGGCAACATATCTCACCTAGACTTAACAAAATTTCAAAAGGTGTTATACCACAATAGTTTACTACCCTTGAGAAGATTACTACAAGTTACTCTTATTAATCTACTCTCTATGATCATTATAATCTACCTTCTATAAACTACTTCTGTTACTCTATTGGCCACTTCACTTCTAATACTAAACCTTGGCTATTTACTGTTCTTAATAATCAAATAATTATTGGCAAGGCCAAAAAGCAAAATACATCTACTGGCCTTACTCTTATTAATCACTGGCACTGCTTATTTCAGTCTCAGTTCTCTAATCTTTATTCTACTCCTTTTTCTACTACCACATTATATACTGAATGATATCTTAATTCAAATACAATTACTAACAAATGTACTATCTTTATTTCTACTAACTTGGCTACTAAGCTACTTTGCTGCATTAATTCTAATAAAACTTTCAATATTTATACAAACTTTCTTGATATTGTATACTCTGTTGCTCTGCTACATCTCTTACATATTCTACTTTTTTCTTTATTTATAATTAATCTACAACAACTACCTCCTATTTTTGAAACATGTCAACTTATTAATAACCTTCAAACTATTGCTAACTCAAATTATAATCTATTGTCTATTTTATTTTATACCAATGGTTTTATTATTGATCTTGGTATCTTATAGTACTTTATGGATATAGGTTGGGTTTAAGTTAATAACTCTACAACTATTAACTTATTTTAGACACAAATTAAACTGTGGCCATGCTCCTTCAAAGCTGAAATTTTTGCTATTCTCTTAGCAATTATTATTGCTTCTAGATATTGTTCTGTTTACATATTTACTGATTATAATTAGTAATCTCTAAATATCATAATAATTACCAATTAGCATCTACTCTTTCTTATACTTATATTTTATATTTATCTATTTGACAAACACTTATCAACTTTATTAAGTCTTATGAAATTGAACTTACTTTTCACAAAGTTACTGCACTCCAAGATGACCCATTTAATAACCTTGCTAACTAACTTGCTCATAATCACCAAATATTATCTTACCTAATATTTTTAACTAATAATTCTTACAACCTTAACTATACTTCTTTCATTAATGAATTTCTTATTAAAATTCCTATCTGATGCTTTATTTGAACTATATGCCAAACCTATATAATAATACTTTGGACATCTTAACATTGTTTTTAACAATGATCTATCATTGCATCTGATATTAACTGGAAAGCTACATAACTTTACATTAACAATAATCAAAAAATTTTTAATTTTGCTTACAGTTTTTATTTATCTATTCTGAAAACTTTTCAAGTTAAAATTCTTATAGATGAACTTCCTGTTCCTTATACTCTATATAAATATAATTCTTTATTTCCTTTCTTCTATTATTAATGCAACCAAATCAGCTTTTTGCTCCATTGAGTTATTTACCATCAACTCAAACAATTTATTATTTAATCTCTAATTCTCTTAATTTTTTTTTTGGTATTAAGGTGACCTCTTTGGTCTTTTGACTTTTATTAATCACTTGTCGGTATTGTGGTTCAAT